TACATTCTAGTTCACTTTTGCTCTCGACCAGCTGTATGAATGGTTTATTTCCTTGATTTTATGATCCGTTTTATTCAGTTCATCCAACTGTGGAAAATTCGTACCCGCGGTGCCATTCGCTCCCGCACCATCATGCATTTTATGACTTAAGTTTAACTGTCGCGTATTTTGTAAATCATTTTAGACTGAAATAGGCCCGGTCCACGTCGTGGGTTCATTCGAAGGGCTCACGCCCGGTAAACATGGTTGCCATGTTCATGTGTATGGTGATCGCACCGATGGTTGCACCTCGGCTGGCCCTCACTTCAACCCCACCAACTGCAATCACGGAGCTCGTGAGGATACTGTGCGTCACGTTGGTGATCTAGGAAACGTCACAGCTGGCGCTGATGGCAAGGCCTCTATCGACTTCTCGGACAACATTATTTCGCTTTCTGGAGCGCATTCTATCATTGGAAGATGCCTTGTTGTACGTGACTCAAGAATTTTCATCGTCTTAGCAACATCACATTTTCCCAGCTCATATGCAGGTTTGGAGACCCCAGACCACACCATTTTGTTGCACAAAAGCGTTTGCCGCCTAGCATCCTAACTAGTTTTCCGCCATGGTATCTTGTTCGGTTTAAACATTTGCCACCATTCAGAAGACTTTTGTTTGGCTAAACTCCACAAACGAAAACGGGACATCCTTTTAGCCGAAACATGTTTAAGTGCAAGTGTAAATGTTCCATTTCTTACCGTCTAAACAATTATACTTATCAAATCTCCATTTGGCTATCTTTGAAAAAAATTGTTTACGAAGCGGTTCCCAGAAATGTGCACTTGCCGGTGGCTCGTTATTACCACTACCCGAGTTTCGAACGTCCGTTCCAGCCTAGGGTTTCACAAAGCAAATAGAATGCAATTTTTTACATCTAGCGAATTATCCCGGCAAGCTCTCCCCACTTTTTGCTCTCACGCTAGAGCCCAGCCTTGCCCAATTGTCATTATTAGTATACTAATGCCATTAGCAGTTCGGTTTTCTTAGTCCTGTTTGTTATTTCTGTTAGTAGTTTGCGTTTTCAGATTTTTTTACTGTTATCTGCAGGTGCATGCCGGTGAGGACGATCTTGGCAAAGGTGGACACGAACTGAGCCTCTCAACTGGAAATTCAGGAGGCAGAGTGGCCTGTGGGGTCATCGGCCTCGCCAAGAGCGACTAATACGTGACATGGTGTATTTCGACAAATCTTTTTCAGTATAGTTGACTACTGCGTCCGTACCTTGAATATACACTTTCTATCCGACGTTCTCTCTCGTATTTTAATAAATATCCTTGATTAAAAATTGTGTTTAACTTACGCGCGCACGCACTACTTTTACAATTAAAGTACCGAAAGCTTCACCAGCACCTCCTTTGCGGCTTTGGTTCGGTCAGTCAGTTTGTTGGCTACGATCCGAAGGATTCATCATCCCCTCTGTTTTACTAACAGGGGGTGCATGTGCTTTACCTTGTGTCGTAGTCGATTGAAGTGTTAAATTGTTCCTGTCGTTAGTCTGTATCCTTCAGCGTGGTGGCGGAATCGTGGCGATGGATAACGGTGATGGTGTTCGCCAATCAAAAGCGCTCTGTGTTGAACGAGGTGTTAGAGCTAGTA